TAAGATGTCAATAAATGCAAATATATTCACGTTAATTATCACTAACTTAGTAACTAATTAGATCGTGAGGGTAAATCACCGGCTAAGATTTCAATGTATGCAGATTATTTGCGTAATTATTATAACTAACTTAGTAACTAATTACATCGTGAGGGAAAATCACCTGCTAAGATGTCAATGTATGTAAATATATTCACGTAATTATTGTCAGTAACTTAGAAACTAATTACATCGTGAGGGAAAATCACCTGCTAAGATGTCAATGAATGCAAATATATTCACGTTAATTATTGTCACTAACTTAGTGACTAATTACATCCTGAGGGAAAATCACCAGCTAAGATGTCAATGAATGCAAATATATTCACGTTAATTATTATCACTAACTTAGTAACTAATTACATCCTGAGGGAAAATCACCGGCTAAAATGTCAATTTATGCAAATTATTCACGTAATTATTATCACTAACTTAATAATTAATTAGATCGTGAGGGAAAATCACCGGCTAAAATGTCAATGTATGCAAATATATTCACGTTAATTATTGTCGCTAACTTAGTAACTAATTAGATCGTGAGGGAAAATCACCGGCTAAGATGTCAATGAATGCAAATATATTCACGTTAATTATTGTCACTAACTTAATAATTAATTAGATCGTGAGGGAAAATCACCGGCTAAGAAGGTCAATTTATGCAAATTATTCACGTAATTATTATCACTAACTTAGTAACTAATTACATCCTGAGGGAAAATCGCCTGCTAAGATGTCAATGTATGCAAATATATTCACGTTATTGTTACTAACTTAGTAACTAATTACATCCTGAGGGAAAATCACCGGCTAAAATGTCAATTTATGCAAATTATTCACGTAATTATTATCACTAACTTAATAATTAATTAGATCGTGAGGGAAAATCACCGGCTAAGATGTCAATTTATTCAAATTATTCACGTAATTATTGTCACTAACTTAGTGACTAATTACATCGTGAGGGAAAATCACCGGCTAAAATCTCAATGAATGCAAATATATTCACGTTAATTATTGTCACTAACTTAATAACTAATTAGATCGTGAGGGAAAATCACCGGCTAAAATCTCAATGAATGCAAATATATTCACGTTAATTATTGTCACTAACTTAATAACTAATTACATCGTGAGGGAAAATCACTGGCTAAGATTTCAATTTATGCAAATTATTCACGTAATTATTGTCACTAACTTAGTAACTAATTACATCGTGAGGGAAAATCACCGGCTAAGATATCAATGTATGCAAATATATTCACGTAATTATTATCACTAACTTAATAACTAATTACATCGTGAGGGAAAATCACCGGCTAAGATGTCAATGAATGCAAATTATTCACGTAATTGTCACTATCTTAGTGACTAATTACAGCCTGAGGAAAAATCACCAACTAAGATGTCAATGTATGCAAATATATTCACGTAATTATTGTCGCTAACTTAGTAACTAATTACATCGTGAGGGAAAATCACCGGCTAAGATGTCAATGAATGCAAATATATTCACGTTAATTATTGTCACTAACTTAATGACTAATTAGATCGTGAGGGAAAATCACCGGCTAAGATGTCAATGTAATGATCACGATGCGTAAATGAAGAAACACCGGCACAACGTGTAAATGTATGCACCTTTATTCGTGTAATTGTTACGATAATCAATTACATAGTGAGTTACAAACAAATTTTCGCGCAAATTATCGCAGTGCGCGATTAAACATCCCTCGCGAGGTCTAAACGCCCCCTAACGCGTGCAAATGCATGCAAAGTCGCTCGTTTGATCGAAAATTAACAACTAACAACACGTCAACAATGTACGCGAATCTATTCGCTAAACTATCCCCAATCAACGAAGACATTTAGCGAGCTGGAGACACACACACACACTAACGCGCGCCAATACATGAAAAGTTTACGTGCGTAAAAATTAGCACCGCCCCCACCCCCCCCCCCCATTATCAATAAATAGTTTCGTCAAGTTATAAACACGGACTAACACCACGTAAAGCGTGCAAATGTATGCGAACGTGGTCTCTCAATTGTTCCAACGTTCAGCGAACACTGCAGGCTGTAAACTCAAGCGAACGTGTCGATTTAAACCTTTCGTGACTGCGAGGATTCGTCTTCTTTTGGTTCTGTCGGTAAGGTCACCACCACGTGGAATGAGAATAAAATAATAAATTGATCAAATAAAATAAAGCAATAAAATTCTCACGACGTTTCGGCCACGACGCAAGCGGCCTTCTTCAGGCGAAAGGAACAGACCCGTCGGGACGAGAGAGCTTCAATGAAACGTTAAGATTCGCGGCGTCTCTTTAAGCTGGTTTAGAGAAGTGAGGCACCTTGACAAAGGGGTTTACATATCAAACAGGAGAATTTAGCGTTGAAATAACTGAGGGATTAGCTTGTGACTGGTCACAGAAATGGCTACGTTAAAGTCAAAGCCTGCACATCCACAGAGGCACCTCGTACAAATCAAACAGGAGAATTTAGCATTGAAATGGCTGAGTGATTAGCTTGTGACTGGTCACAGAAATAGCTACGTTAAAGTCAAAGCCTACACATCCACAGAGGCACCTAGTACAAATCAAACAGGATAATTTAGCGTTGAAATAGCTGAGTGATTAGCTTGTGACTGGTCACAGAAATGGCTACGTTAAAGTCAAAGCCTACACATCCACAGGGGCACCTAGTACAAATCAAACAGGAGAATTTAGCATTGAAATAGCTGAGTTATTAGCTTGTGACTGGTCACAGAAATGGCTACGTTAAAGTCAAAGCCTACACATCCACAGGGGCACCTAGTACAAATCAAACAGGAGAATTTAGCGTTGAAATAGCTGAGTGATTAGCTTGTGACTGGTCACAGAAATGGCTACGTTAAAGTCAAAGCCTACACATCCACAGGGGCACCTAGTACAAATCAAACAGGAGAATTTAGCATTGAAATAGCTGAGTGATTAGCTTGTGACTGGTCACAGAAATGGCTATGTTAAAGTCAAAGCCTACACATCCACAAAGGCACCTGGTACAAATCAAACAGGAGAATTTAGCATTGAAATAGCTGAGTGATTAGCTTGTGACTGGTCACAGAAATAGCTACGTTAAAGTCAAAGCCTGCACATCCACAGAGGCACCTAGTACAAATCAAACAGGAGAATTTAGCATTGAAATAGCTGAGTGATTAGCTTGTGACTGGTCACAGAAATGGCTACGTTAAAGTCAAAGCCTAAACTATCCCCAATCAACGATGACATTTAGCGAGCTGGAGATACACACTAACGCGCGCCAATACATCAAAAGTTTACGTGCGTAAAAATTAGCACCGCCCCCCATTTCAATAAATAGTTTCGTCAAGTTATGAACACGGACTAACACCGCATAAAGCGTGCAAATGTATGCGGACGTGGTCTCTCAATTGTTCCAACGTTCAGCGAACACTGCAAGCTGTAAACTCAAGCGAACGTGTCGCCGTTACCACAGTGACCTTCACAATCGATAACTAACGATGACAGGTAGCCCCGATCTTACGGTGACTTTACGGAAAGAACCAAGAATAATAATTTTATTGTTTTACAATAATTTGATAGTTTTATATTTTTTTATTATTTCATTGTTTCCCCTATCTACGTGGCGGTGGTGACTTTAACCGAAAGAACGAAGAATAATAATTTTATTGTTTTACAATAATTTGATAGTTTTATATTTCTAATTATTTTATCGTTTCCCCTATCTACGTGGCGGTGACTTTACGTTTCAAAGCGATTTGAAACGCGCTTCAAAGCGGGGCGGTACGCGGATACTTTAGCGGGCAAGCAAACTCACTCACGGTGTTACGTACGCCGCTACCACTCCTAACTTAGTAACTAGTTACATCGGCGGTACGCGGATACTTTAGCGGGCAAGCAAACACACTCACGGTGTTACGTACGCCGCTAACACTCCTAACTTAGTGACTGGTTACATCAGCGGTACGCGGATACTTTAGCGGGCAAGCAAACACACTCACGGCGTTACGTACGCCGCTACCACTCCTAACTTAGTAACTAGTTACATCAGCGGTACGCGGATACTTTAGCGGGCACGCAAACACACTCACGGTGTTACGTACGCCGCTAACACTCCTAACTTAGTGACTGGTTACAATCGGGGCGGTACGCGGATACTTTAGCGGGCAAGCAAACTCACTCACAGTGTTACGTACGCCGTTACCACTCCTAATTTAGTAACTAGTTACATCAGCGGTACGCGGATACTTTAGCGGGCACGCAAACTCACTCACGGCGTTACGCACGCCGCTAACACTCCTAACTTAGCGACTGGTTACAATCGGGGCGGTGTTGTGCCGATGACTCGAGCCGGTATGCAGACGACACGCGAAAGGCAGCAGTAATACTGGTAATAATATTGATAATGATTCTAATAGTTGCCGACGACACTATAACGCATGCAAATGTTGACAAAGTTGACGACGAACGGTCCGGTGACTAATCGCGGACCCGGGCAGGCGAGCAGTGGATAGACCCTGGCTGGTGACGATGGTGATGGTGGTGGTGATGGTGGTGATGGTGGTGGTGATGGTGGTGATGGTGGTGATGGTGGTGGTGGTGATGGTGGTGGTGGTGATGATGGTGGTGGTGGTGATGATGGTGGTGGTGATGGTGGTGACGATGGTGATGATGGTGGTGGTGATGATGGTGATGGTGGTGATGGTGGTGATGGTGGTGGTGATGGTGGTGATGGTGGTGGTGATGGTGGTGGTGATGGTGGTGATGATGGTGGTGATGGTGGTGATGATGATGGTGGTGATGGTGGTGATGATGATGGTGGTGATGATGGTGATGGTGGTGATGGTGATGATGGTGGTGATGGTGGTGATGGTGGTGATGGTGGTGATGATGATGGTGGTGATGATGGTGATGGTGGTGATGGTGATGATGATGATGGTGGTGATGATGGTGATGGTGGTGATGGTGATGATGGTGGTGATGGTGGTGGTGACGATGGTGATGGTGATGATGACGATGATGACGACGGTGACGACGATGACGACGGCGGTGATGGCTTCACACACAGCAGCGGACAGACCCCGGCGGTGACGCTTCAAACTTGCGCGCGCCCATCGCACGCCAATTGACGTACCACCCCCCCGCCCACACCCCTCCAGCTCATGAATATTAATCAGACAGGAAGGACCCCTGCTCCCGATTGGCCGACGCCGCGTCGACGCACCGCCCCTTCCTGCGCGTCACGTGACTCCTCCTCTGGTACTTGGCGTAGCAACGGAGTCCTGGCAACAGCACGCACGCGGGGAGAGGTTTTTGGCGGGAGAGGTTTTTGGGGGAGAGGTTTTTGGGGGAGAGGTTTTTGGGGGAGAGGTTTTTGGCGGGAGAGGTTTTTGGGGGGAGAGGTTTTTGGGGGGAGAGGTTTTTGGGGAGAGGTTTTTGGCGGGAGAGGTTTTTGGGGCAGAGGTTTTTGGGGGAGAGGTGTTTGGGGGAGAGATTTTTGGTGGGAGAGGTTTTTGGGGGAGAGGTTTTTGGGGGGAGAGGTTGTTGGGGGAGAGGTTTTTGGGGCAGAGGTTTTTGGGGGGAGAGGTTTTTGGGGGAGAGGTTTTTGGGGGAGAGGTTTTTGTGGGAGAGGTTGTTGGGGGAGAGGTTTTTGTGGGAGAGGTTGTTGGGGGGAGAGGTTTTTGGGGGGAGAGGTTTTTGGCGGGAGAGGTTTTGGGGCAGAGGTTTTTTGGCGGGAGAGGTTTTTGGGGGAGAGGTTTTTGGGGGAGAGGTTTTTGGGGAGAGGTTTTTGGGGGGAGAGGTTTTTGGGGGGAGAGGTTTTTGGGGAGAGGTTTTTGGCGGGAGAGGTTTTTGGGGCAGAGGTTTTTGGGGGAGAGGTGTTTGGGGGAGAGATTTTTGGTGGGAGAGGTTTTTGGGGGAGAGGTTTTTGGGGGGAGAGGTTGTTGGGGGAGAGGTTTTTGGGGCAGAGGTTTTTTGGGGGGAGAGGTTTTTGGGGGAGAGGTTTTTGGGGGAGAGGTTTTTGTGGGAGAGGTTGTTGGGGGAGAGGTTTTTTGTGGGAGAGGTTGTTGGGGGGAGAGGTTTTTGGGGGAGAGGTTTTTGGCGGGAGAGGTTTTTGGGGCAGAGGTTTTTGTGGGAGAGGTTGTTGGGGGAGAGGTTTTTGTGGGAGAGGTTGTTGGGGGGAGAGGTTTTTGGGGAGAGGTTTTTGGGGGGAGAGGTTTTTGGGGGAGAGGTTTTTGGGGGAGAGGTTTTTGGGGGAGAGGTTTTTGGGGGAGAGGTTTTTGGGGGAGAGGTTTTTGGGGGAGAGGTTTTTGGGGGAGAGGTTTTGGGGGAGAGGTTTTTGGGGGAGAGGTTTTTGGGGGAGAGGTTTTTGGGGGAGAGGTTTGTGGGGGAGAGGTTTTTGGGAGAGAGGTTTTTGGGGGAGAGGTTTTTGGGGGAGAGGTTTTTGGGGGAGAGGTTTTTGGGGGAGAGGTTTTTGGGGGAGAGGTTTTTGGGGGAGAGGTTTTTGGGGAGGAGAGGTTTTTGGGGGAGAGGTTTTTGGGGGAGAGGTTTTTGGGAGAGAGGTTTGTGGGGGACAGGTTTTTGGGAGAGAGGTTTGTGGAGGACAGGTTTTTGGGGGGAGAGGTTTTTGGGGGAGAGGTTGTTGGGGGAGAGGTTTTTGGGGGAGAGGTTTTTGGGAGAGAGGTTTTTGGGAGAGAGGTTTGTGGGGGACAGGTTTTTGGGGGAGAGGTTTTTGGGGGAGAGGTTTTTGGGGAGAGGTTTTTGGGGGAGAGGTGTTTGGGGGAGAGGTATTTGGGGGAGAGGTTTTTGGGGGAGAGGTTTTTGGGGGGAGAGGTTTTTGGGGGAGAGGTTTTTGGGGCAGAGGTTTTTGGGGGGAGAGGTTTTTGGGGAGAGGTTTTTGGGGGAGAGGTTTTTGGGGGAGAGGTTTTTGGGGGAGAGGTTTTTGGGGGAGAGGTTTGTGGGGGAGAGGTTTTTGGGAGAGAGGTTTGTGGGGGACAGGTTTTTGGGAGAGAGGTTTGTGGGGGACAGGTTTTTGGGGGACAGGTTTTTGGGGGGAGAGGTTTTTGGGGGAGAGGTTTTTGGGGGAGAGGTTTTTGGGGGAGAGGTTTTTGGGGGAGAGGTTTTTGGGGGAGAGGTTTTTGGGAGAGAGGTTTTTGGGGCAGAGGTTTTTGGGGGAGAGGTTTTTGGGGGAGAGGTTTTTGGGGGAGAGGTTTTTGGGGGAGAGGTTTTTGGGGGAGAGGTTTTTGGGGGAGAGGTTTGTGGGGGAGAGGTTTTTGGAGAGAGGTTTTTGGGGGAGAGGTTTTGGGGGAGAGGTTTTTGGGGGAGAGGTTTTTGGGGGGAGAGGTTTTTGGGGAAGAGGTTTTTGGGGGAGAGGTTTTTGGGGAGAGAGGTTTTTGGGGGAGAGGTTTTTGGGGGAGAGGTTTTTGGGAGAGAGGTTTGTGGGGGACAGGTTTTTGGGAGAGAGGTTTGTGGGGGACAGGTTTTTGGGGGACAGGTTTTTGGGGGGAGAGGTTTTTGGGGGAGAGGTTTTTGGGGGAGAGGTTTTTGGGGGAGAGGTTTTTGGGGGAGAGGTTTTTGGGAGAGAGGTTTTTGGGAGAGAGGTTTGTGGGGGACAGGTTTTTGGGGGAGAGGTTTTTGGGGGAGAGGTTTTTGGGGGAGAGGTTTTTGGGGGAGAGGTGTTTGGGGGAGAGGTTTTTGGGGGAGAGGTTTTTGGGGAGAGGTTTTCGAGGGAGAGGTTTTTGGGGGAGAGGTTTTTGGGAGAGAGGTTTTTGGGGGACAGGTTTTTGTGGGGAGAGGTTTTTGGTGGGAGAGGTTTTTGGGAGAGAGGTTTTTGGTGGGAGAGGTTATTGGGGGAGAGGTTTTTGGGGGAGAGGTTTTTGGGGGGAGAGGTTTTTGGGGGAGAGGTTTTTGGGGGAGAGGTTTTTGGGGGAGAGGTTTTTGGGGGAGAGGTTTTTGTGGGAGAGGTTTTTGGGGGAGAGGTTTTTGGGGGAGAGGTTTTTGGGGGAGAGGTTTTTGGGGGAGAGGTTTTCGGGGGAGAGGTTTTCGAGGGAGAGGTTTTCGGGGGAGAGGTTTTTGGGGGAGAGGTTTTTGGGGGAGAGGTGTTTGGGCGAGAGGTTTTTGGGGGAGAGGTTTTTGGGAGAGAGGTTTTTGTGGGAGAGGTTATTGGGGGAGAGGTTTTTGGGGGAGAGGTTTGTGGGGGACAGGTTTTTGGGGGAGAGGTTTTTGGGGGAGAGGTTTTTGGGGGAGAGGTTTTTGGGGGAGAGGTTTTCGAGGGAGAGGTTTTCGGGGGAGAGGTTTTTGGGGGAGAGGTTTTTGGGGGAGAGGTTTTTGGGGGGAGAGGTGTTTGGGGGAGAGGTTTTTGGGGGAGAGGTTTTTGGGGGAGAGGTTTTTGGGGGAGAGGTGTTTGGGGGAGAGGGTTTTGGGGGAGAGGTTTTTGGGGGAGAGGTTTTTGGGGGAGAGGTGTTTGGGGGGGAGGTTTTTGGGGGAGAGGTTTTTGGGGGAGAGGTTTTCGAGGGAGAGGTTTTCGGGGGAGAGGTTTTTTGGGGGAGAGGTTTTTGGGGGAGAGGTGTTTGGGGGAGAGGTTTTTGGGGGAGAGGTTTTTGGGAGAGAGGTTTTTGTGGGAGAGGTTTTTGGGGGAGAGGTTTTTGGGGGAGAGGTTTTTGGGGGAGAGGTTTGTGGGGGACAGGTTTTTGGGGGAGAGGTTTTTGGGGGAGAGGTTTTTGGGGGAGAGGTTTTCGAGGGAGAGGGTTTCGGGGGAGAGGTTTTTGGGGGAGAGGTTTTTGGGGCAGAGGTTTTTGGGGGGAGAGGTTTTTGGGGGAGAGGTTTTTGGGGGAGTGGTTTTTGGGGGAGAGGTTTTTGGGGGAGAGGTTTGTGGGGGAGAGGTTTTTGGGAGAGAGGTTTGTGGGGGACAGGTTTTTGGGAGAGAGGTTTTTGGGGGAGAGGTTTTTGGGGGGAGAGGTTTTTGGGGAAGAGGTTTTTGGGGGAGAGGTTTTTGGGGAGAGAGGTTTTTGGGGGAGAGGTTTTTGGGGGAGAGGTTTTTGGGAGAGAGGTTTGTGGGGGACAGGTTTTTGGGAGAGAGGTTTGTGGGGGACAGGTTTTTGGGGGACAGGTTTTTGGGGGGAGAGGTTTTTGGGGGAGAGGTTTTTGGGGGAGAGGTTTTTGGGGGAGAGGTTTTTGGGGGAGAGGTTTTTGGGAGAGAGGTTTTTGGGAGAGAGGTTTGTGGGGGACAGGTTTTTGGGGGAGAGGTTTTGGGGGAGAGGTTTTTGGGGGAGAGGTTTTTGGGGGAGAGGTGTTTGGGGGAGAGGTTTTTGGGGGAGAGGTTTTTGGGGGAGAGGTTTTCGAGGGAGAGGTTTTTGGGGGAGAGGTTTTTGGGAGAGAGGTTTTTGGGGGACAGGTTTTTGGGGGGAGAGGTTTTTGGTGGGAGAGGTTTTTGGGAGAGAGGTTTTTGGTGGGAGAGGTTATTGGGGGAGAGGTTTTTGGGGGAGAGGTTTTTGGGGGGAGAGGTTTTTGGGGAGAGGTTTTTGGGGGAGAGGTTTTTGGGGGAGAGGTTTTTGGGGGAGAGGTTTTTGTGGGAGAGGTTTTTGGGGGAGAGGTTTTTGGGGGAGAGGTTTTTGGGGGAGAGGGTTTTGGGGGAGAGGTTTTTGGGGGAGCGGTTTTCGGGGGAGAGGTTTTCGGGGGAGAGGTTTTTGGGGGAGAGGTTTTTGGGGGAGAGGTGTTTGGGGGAGAGGTTTTTGGGGGAGAGGTTTTGGGGGGAGAGGTTTTTGGGGGAGAGGTTTTTGGGGGAGAGGTTTTTGGGGGAGAGGTTGCGATCTTTCCCACGGATATTTTGCGATTTCATTTCCGGCTGCATCTTTTTGGAGTGGAGCTTGAGTTTCACGCTGTGTGACGCACGCTTTTTTTTAGTTTTTTAAAATCATCATTATTTCTTGTTGTTGTCCCTGGAGAGTGAGTGTTATTTTTCTAATCGCTTACGCCTCAGAGGTGCAGACGATTCGCTGGCAGCAATGAACAGACCATCGGCATGCGAAACGTTATGCAACCGATGAAAAGATATTGCCGCTCGACTGATTCGGAGTGAGACCTCTGCTGCTAAACCGGAGCTAGTCATAAGCGCACTGCCCAGGTATGGGAAACTCTCCACTCTCTCCACAACTGCCCCATCACCGATTGGGAGTTGTGGGGGTGGAGCGTCCGATGGTACAAAATACCCAGGCAGGTGCTTAGTTTTGATGGGGGCTGATGGTAAGGCCCCCATCTCTTAGTGGCAAGCTCCAGTCTCAGCAGCAGCGTCTCCAACTCCTCCTCTGAGTGAGCAGCAATTACCAAATCATCGGCATACATAACGTGGTTGAGCAACAGGGAGCCATCCCTTGACCGCACCCGGGCATCGATCAGCCTCCCATTATATCTGTACCATATGGAGATTCCCCCGGTACAGCTGTCGAAGGCTTCACGAACTACGTGGTCAAAATAGATGTTAAATAATGTGGGAGCCAGAGGACATCCCTGTCGCACCCCAAGGTGTACAGGGAATGGCTCTGACTCCCGGCCACGTAGTTTTACCCGGGCCCGCTCACCATCATAAAGGTCCTTAAGGGACTCCGAAAGCACAAAGAACTACACAGAGCCCAGGCCTACTGATGGTGTCATAGGCCTTGACCAGGTCAAAAAAGCAGAGATGTAGGTCTTGTTGGAATTCCATATACCTATGCTGTAGCAGACGGACAGAAAATATGGCATCTGTGCAGGACCAACCTTTCCTGAAACGGCATTGGGGCTCCACAAGCCTCTCCTCAGCGTGCCTGGCAAGGCGATGCTGAATAATCCTTGCCAGGACCTTTCCCAGCACACTGAGGAGTGAGATACCCCTGTAGTTGTTACAGTCTGTGCGGTCCCCCTTCTTAAAGAGGGGGACCACCAGGGCATCCTTCCAATCCTGCGGAACCCGTCCAGTGGTCCAGACTGTTGTTATGATGTCATGTAGGGCAGTCTATGTACAAACGTCACCCTCCCTCAGCATTTCGCTTGGGAGATCATCTTTGCCCGGTACCTTTCCTGGTCTCAGACTCTGGATCGCCTTCAGTACTTCCTCAACAGATGGTACCTCAGCCAGCCACTCACAGGGGGTGACTTCTTCCAATATTTGAGGCACCGCAGCCTCAGCAGGATCATCCTCACTTTGTGCCACGATGTTTTCCATGTCGAGGCATTTTCCCTCCCCCAGGACCTCACAGAAATGCTCAGCAAATCTGCAAACCTGTTCCTGGGGGTCGGAGATTGGATCACCGTTTTTTCCCCTAATGATGGTAATAGGTGTGGTGCTGCAGGTTACTTTTTGGATGGAATTAAAGAGCGATTTGTGATCGCGGGCCACTGAGGCAGACTCCATCTCCTCAGCAACCCGCGACCACCACCCATCTTTGCAGCGCCTCACGGCTCTCCGTACCTCCGAGCGAAGGCTGCGGTAAGCCTCCTCATTCTCTGATGTGGGATGCTGTAGATGATGAGAGTGGGCCTGCCGCTTTTTCTCAGCCAGCCTGAACACTTCCTCTATCAGCCAGGGTCTCTGAGGAGGTCTTGCTTGGACCCGGCATGCATCCATGATGTTGTGTGGATGTGCCGATGTTGGAACAGCGTGTTGGTAATTACAAGCCCATGGGCTGCACAAAAATCTAGCAGCCTCCTACCGTTGTTATTGAGCTGATCTGGCCCATGCCTTACAATTACTCCAGACCAGGTGCCAGCATCATGACCAACTCGGGCATTGAAGTCACTCAACAAGATGACTCTATCCCGAAGGGCCACTTTAGCCAGCACCTGTGACAGGAGGTCATAGAAGGCATCTGACTCATCGGCCTTGCCTGCATCCCTCCACGGATGTTCGTCTTCGGTGGGGGCATAAGTAACCACGACCACCACTCCTCGCCTCCGGTTGACGGAAAGGTGAGCCCAACATAGCCTAGGGCTTACAGCTTCCCACACCTCACCGCCATGCTCCCACGCCCCCTTCATTCTTTTGTACAGAAGAAGAGCCACACCCTGTTGTTTGGCAGTCTGCTGCCCCGAGTAGAGGACTGTCCACCCCTCATGGTGGCAGGAGCCAGAGCCGGTCCACCGGACCTCCTGAATTCCACAGAGATCCACGCGGTACCGGTCCAGCTCCCGACAGAGGAGTGGCAGCCTCTCCTCCGCAGTGAGCGTTTGAACATTCCATGTGGCCATCCATAGTGGCTTTCGCTCACCAACACACTCACCACCACCACCACCACACTCACTCAGCACCACACTCACCAAAGACAAAGATCCCCCGTGTAGCCTTCACAGACTGTAGGGGCAAGTGCTGTTAGCGAGCAGCACCCTATGAAGGCCGGTAACGGCACACGAGGGGGGTGGGTGGCCAGCACCACGCCCGGCCGCCTTTGTCTCCCCAGTGGCGATGTTTACAACACCACCACCGGGTACTCATTTGAGGCTGAGTCGACCTAGGGGAGGCCCGGGACCGGTTCGGATAATCGTCACCGGTGTTGGCCGTGAGCGGGAATCGAACCCGGGTCGCCAGGTTCATAGCGATAGTGTAGCGCTAACCGCTACACTATCGCTCCCCACTCACCACTCACCACCACCAGACTCACTCACCACTACCGCCACCCTGATGCGTACCTTCTGAGCACATGCAGTCGTCAAAGCACTTGTTGTTGATGCCGCGATTGTGAGCGGAGCAGCTGTGGAGGCGAGGCTCACAGCACGAGCCTAGAGACCATCATCATCAGCAGCAGCAGCACCATCAGCAGCACCATCACCGGCAGCGTCATCAGCAGCAGCACCATCAGCAGCAGCAGCACCATCAGCAGCAGCACCATCAGCACCATCACCGGCAGCGTCATCAGCAGCAGCACCATCAGCACCAGCACCATCAGCAGCAGCAGCAGCAGCATCAACATCACAGATGCATAGAAAGACATAGAGACACACAGCGACATACATACAGAGACGCACAGAGACACACAGAGACGCACAGAGACACACACAGACACAAAGACACTCAAAGATACAGAGACACACAGATACATACAGAGACACACAGATACACACAGATACATACAGAGACACACAGATACATACAGAGACACACAGATACACACAGATACATACAGATACACACAGAGACATACAGAGACACACAGATACACACAGATACATACAGAGACACACAGACACACAGATACACACAGAGACACACAGAGACACAAAGACACTCAAAGATACAGAGACACACAGAGACACACAGAGACACACAGACACAGATACACACAGAGACACAAAGACACTCAAAGATACAGAGACACACAGAGACACACAGCGACACACAGAGATGCACTGAGACACACAGAGACACACAGATACACACAGAGACACAAAGACACTCAAAGATACAGAGACACACAGATACACGCAGAGACATACAGAGACACACAGAGACACACAGATACATAGAGACACACAGAGACAAACAGATACACACAGAGACACACACATACATAGAGACACACAGAGACACACAGATACACACAGAGACACACAGAGACACACAGATACACACAGAGACACACACATACATAGAGACACACAGAGACACACAGAGACACACAGATACATACAGAGACACACAGGGACACACAGAGACACAAAGACACTCAGAGATACATGGAAATACATAGAGACACACAGAGACACACAGATAGGTACAGAGACACACAGATACGTACAGAGACACACAGATACACACAGAGACAGACAGAGACACACATATACAACCAGATACGTACAGAGACACACAGATACACACAGAGACACACATACGTACAGAGACACACAGATACACACAGAGACACACAGATACTTACAGAGACACACGTAGAGACGCACACAGAGACACAGATACACAAATGCACACAGACACATAGACACGTGGCCACACACACACAGAGACACGTAGACACACAAAGACAAAAACAAAGATCCCCCGTGTAGCCTTAAGAGACTGTAGGGGCAAGTCCTGTTAGCGAGCACCTATGAAGGCTGGAACGGTACACGAGGGGGTGGGTGGCCAGCACCACGCCCGGCCGCCTTTGTTTCCCCAGTGGCGAAGTTTACACACCGCACCAGGTACTCATTTGAGGCTGAGTCGACCTAGGGGAGGCCCAGGACCGGTTCAGATAATCGTCACTGGTGTTGGCCGTGAGCTGGAATCGAACCCGGGTCGCCAGGTTCATAGCGCAGCGTAGCGCTAACCGCTATACTATCGCTCCCCACACACAGACACACACACAGACACACACATACAGACACACACACACAGACACACAAACACAAAACACACACATACACACACTCACCGAGACATGTAGACACACAGACAGACACACACACACAGACAGATACGTACACACACACACAGACACGTAGGCACACAGACACACACACACACAGACACACACAAACACAGAAACACACACACACAGAAGCACACACACAGACACACACAAACACAGAAACACACACAGACACACACACACACAGACATGTAGACACACAGACAGACACACACACACAGACAGATACGCACACACACACAGAGACACGTAGGCACACAGACACACACACACACAGACACACACAAACCCAGAACACACACACACAGAAACACACACACAGACACACACAAACACAGACACACACAGACACACACACACACACACAGAGACATGTAGACACACAGACAGATACACACACATAGACAGATACGTACACACACACAGAGACACGTAGGCACACAGACACACACACACAGACACACACAAACACAGAAACACACACACACAGACACACACACAGAGACATGTAGACACACACACACAGACACACACACACAGACAGACACACACACACACACACACGCGCTTATCTCACCCAATGGGCAGTTGCGATGGTGGTCACATGGTGTCGGTGTCGATGTCTCCATGGCAACCCTCTGGCTGCCATTCCTCACTTCTGCTGTCTCTGCTCATAGAGACCCACAGAGACCCATAGAGATCCATAGAGACCCACAGAGACCCACAGAGACCCACAGAGACCCATAGAGACCCACAGAGACCCACAGAGATCCATAGAGACCCACAGAGACCCACAGAGACCCACAGAGATCCATATAGACCCATAGAGACCCATAGACACCCACAGAGACCCATAGAGACCCACAGAGACCCACAGAGACCCACAGAGACCCATAGAGACCCATAGACACCCACAGAGACCCATAGAGACCCACAGAGACCCACAGAGATCCATATAGACCCATAGAGACCCATAGACACCCACAGAGATCCATAGAGACCCATAGAGACCCACAGAGACCAAAATACCCACAGAGACCCAAAGAGATATATAGAGACCCACAGAGACCCACAGAGACCCACAGAGATCCATAGACACCCACAGAGACCCACAGAGATCCATAGAGATCCATAGAGACCCACAGAGACCCACAGAGACCCATAGAGACCCACAGAGACCCATAGAGATCCACAGATATGCTCCGTCTCCCCGTGTCTCCCCGTAACTCCGTGTCTCCCCGTGTCTCCCCGTGTCTCCCCGAGTCTCCCCGTGTCTCCCCGTGTCTCTCCGTGTCTCCCCGTGTCTCTCCGTGTCTCCCCCGTGTCTCTCCGTGTCTCCCCGTGTCTCTCCGTGTCTCCCGGTGTCTCCCCGTGTCTCTCCGTGTCTCCCCGTGTCTCCCCGTGTCTCCCCGTGTCTCCCCGTAACTCCGTGTCTCCCCGTGTCTCCCCGTGTCTCCCCGAGTCTCCCCGTGTCTCCCCGTGTCTCTCCGTGTCTCCCCGTGTCTCTCCGTGTCTCCCCGTGTCTCTCCGTGTCTCCCTGTGTCTCTCCGTGTCTCCCGGTGTCTCCCCGTGTCTCCCCTTGTCTCCCGGTGTCTCCCCGTGTCTCCCCGTGTCTCCCGGTGTCTCCCCGTGTCTCCCCGTGTCTCTCCGTGTCTCCCCGTGTCTCTCCGTGTCTCTCCGTGTCTCCCCGTGTCTCCCCGTGTCTCTCCGTGTCTCCCCGTGTCTCTCCGTGTCTCCCCGTGTCTCCCGGTGTCTCCCCGTGTCTCCCCGTGTCTCCCCGTGTCTCCCCGTGTCTCTCTGTCTCCCCGTGTCTCTCCGTGTCTCTCCGTGTCTCCCCGTGTCTCTCCGTGTCTCACCGTGATCTTCGTAATCACCCCAGTCAAAGAGATTCATGTCCAACTCTGGGCTCTGGGACACTGCCTGCAACAGCATCATCATCAGCAAAATCATCATCATCAGCAGCATCATCATCATCAGCAGCATCATCATCATCAGCAACATCATCAGCATCATCATCAGCATCATCAGCAGCATCATCAGCAACATCATCAGCATCATCATCAGCATCATCAGCAACATCATCAGCAGCAACATCATCAGCATCATCATGAGCAGCATCATCATTATCATCAACATCATCAGCATCATTATCATCATCATCAACATCATCAACATCAGCAACGTAAAAATCATCATCAGCATCATCAACATCATCATCAGCAGCATCATCATCATCAGCATCATCATGAGCAGCATCATCATTATCATCATCAACATCATCAGCATCATTATCATCAACATCATCAACATCATCACCATCAGCAGCATCATCAACATCAGCAACATCATCATCATCATCATTAGCAGCATCATCATCATCAACATCATCATCAGCATCATCAGCACCATCATCAGCATCATCAGCGTCATCATCAGCAACATCAACATCATCATCATTAGCAACATCATCTATGTGTGTCTATGTGTATCTGTGTGGTGAGTCTGTGGGTCTCTGTGTGGTGAGTCTGTGGGTCTCTGTGTGGTGAGTCTGTGGGTCTCTGTGTGGTGAGTCTGTGGGTCTCTGTGTGGGGAGTCTGTGGGGCTCTGTGTGGTGAGTCTGTGGGTCTCTGTGTGGTGAGTCTGTGGGTCTCTGTGTGGTGAGTCTATGGGTCTCTGTGTGGTGGTGAGTCTGTGGGGTTCTGTGTGGGGAGTCTGTGGGTCTCTGTGTGGTGAGTCTGTGGGTCTCTGTGTGGTCAGTCTGTGGGTCTCTGTGTGGTGAGTCTGTGGGTCTCTGTGTGGTGAGTCTGTGGGTCTCTGTGTGGTGTGTCTGTGTGTCTCTGTGTGGTGAGTCTGTGGGTCTCTGTGTGGTGAGTCTGTGGGTCTCTGTGTGGTGGTGAGTCTGTGGGTCTCTGTGTGGGGAGTCTGTGGGTCTCTGTGTGGTGAGTCTGTGGGTCTCTGTGTGGTCAGTCTGTGGGTCTCTGTGTGGTGAGTCTGTGGGTCTCTGTGTGGTGAGTCTGTGGGTCTCTGTGTGGTGTGTCTATGTGTCTCTGTGTGGTGAGTCTGTGGGTCTCTGTGTGGTGAGTCTGTGGGTCTCTGTGTGGTGAGTCTGTGGGTCTCTGTGTGGTGAGTCTGTGGGTCTCTGTGTGGTGTGTCTATGTTCTATGTGTGGTGAGTCTGTGGGTCTCTGTGTGGTGAGTCTGTGTGTCTCTGTGTGGTGAGTCTGTGGGTCTCTGTGTGATGAGTCTGTGGGTCTCTGTGTGGTGAGTCTATGGGTCTCTGTGTGATGAGTCTGTGGGTCTCTGTGTGATGAGTCTATGGGTCTCTGTGTGATGAGTCTGTGGGTCTCTGTGTGGTGAGTCTGTGGGTCTCTGTGTGGTGAGTCTGTGGGTCTCTGTGTGGGGAGTCTGTGGGGCTCTGTGTGGTGAGTCTGTGGGTCTCTGTGTGGTGAGTCTGTGGGTCTCTGTGTGGTGAGTCTATGGGTCTCTGTGTGGTGGTGAGTCTGTGGGGTTCTGTGTGGGGAGTCTGTGGGTCTCTGTGTGGTGAGTCTGTGGGTCTCTGTGTGGTCAGTCTGTGGGTCTCTGTGTGGTGAGTCTGTGGGTCTCTGTGTGGTGAGTCTGTGGGTCTCTGTGTGGTGTGTCTATGTGTCTCTGTGTGGTGAGTCTGTGGGTCTCTGTGTGGTGAGTCTGTGGGTCTCTGTGTGGTGGTGAGTCTGTGGGTCTCTGTGTGGGGAGTCTGTGGGTCTCTGTGTGGTGAGTCTGTGGGTCTCTGTGTGGTCAGTCTGTGGGTCTCTGTGTGGTGAGTCTGTGGGTCTCTGTGTGGTGAGTCTGTGGGTCTCTGTGTGGTGTGTCTATGTGTCTCTGTGTGGTGAGTCTGTGGGTCTCTGTGTGGTGAGTCTGTGGGTCTCTGTGTGGTGAGTCTGTGGGTCTCTGTGTGGTGAGTCTGTGGGTCTCTGTGTGGTGTGTCTATGTTCTATGTGTGGTGAGTCTGTGGGTCTCTGTGTGGTGAGTCTGTGTGTCTCTGTGTGGTGAGTCTGTGGGTCTCTGTGTGATGAGTCTGTGGGTCTCTGTGTGGTGAGTCTATGGGTCTCTGTGTGATGAGTCTGTGGGTCTCTGTGTGATGAGTCTATGGGTCTCTGTGTGATGAGTCTGTGGGTCTCTGTGTGATGAGTCTATGGGTCTCTGTGTGATGAGTCTATGGGTCTTTGTGTAGTGAGTCTGTGGGTCTCTGTGTGGTGAGTCTGTGGGTCTCTGTGTGGTGAGTCTATGGGTCTTTGTGTGATGAGTCTGTGGGTCTCTGTGTGGTGAGTCTGTGGGGCTCTGTGTGATGAGTCTGTGGGTCTCTGTGTGATGAGTCTATGGGTCTCTGTGTAGCGAGTCTATGGGTCTCTGTGTGGTGAGTCTGTGGGGCTCTGTGTGATGAGTCTGTGGGTCTCTGTGTGATGAGTCTATGGGTCTCTGTGTGATGAGTCTATGGGTCTCTGTGTGATGAGTCTATGGGTCTCTGTGTGGTGAGTCTGTGGGTCTTTTGTGATGAGTCTATGGGTCTCTATGTGGTGAGTCTGTGGGTCTCTGTGTGGTGGGTCTGTGGGTCTCTGTGTGGTGAGTCTGTGGGTCGCTGTGTGGTGAGTCTGTGGGTCTCTGTGTGATGATTCTATGGGTCTCTGTGTGGTGAGTCTGTGGGTCTCTATGTGTGAGTCTATGGGTCTCTCTGTGGTGAGTCTATGGGTCTCTATGTGTGAGTCTGTGGGTCTCTGTGTGATGAGTCTGTGGGTCTCTGTGTGATGAGTCTGTGGGTCTCTGTGTGATGGGTCTATGGGTCTCTGTGTGATGAGTCTGTGGGTCTCTGTGTGATGAATCTATGGGTCTCTATGTGTGAGTCTATGGGTCTCTGTGTGATGAATCTATGGGTCTCTGTGTGTGAGTCTGTGGGTCTTTGTGTGTGAGTCTGTGGGTCTCTGTGTGATGAGTCTGTGGGTCTCTGTGTGATGGGTCTATGGCTCTCTGTGTGATGAGTCTGTGGGTCTATATGTGGTGAGTCTATGGGTCTCTGTGTGTGAGTCTATGGGTCTCTGTGTGGTGAGTCTGTGGGTCTCTGTGGGTGAGTCTATGGCTCTCTGTGTGTGAGTCTATGGCTCTCTGTGTGTGAGTCTGTGGGTCTCTGTGTGGTGAGTCTGTGGGTGTCTGTGTGTGGTGAGTCTGTGGGTCTCTGTGTGGTGAGTATGTGGGTCTCTGTGTGATGAGTCTGTGGCTCTCTATGTGTGAGTCTGTGGGTCTCTATGTGTGAGTCTGTGGGTCTCTGTGTGATGAGTCTGTGGGTCTCTGTGTGATGAGTCTGTGGGTCTCTGTGTGATGAGTCTGTGGGTCTCTGTGTGATGAGTCTGTGGGTCTCTGTGTGATGAGTCTGTGGGTCTCTATGTGTGAGTCTGTGGGTCTCTGTGTGATGAGTCTGTGGGTCTCTGTGTGATGAGTCTGTGGGTCTCTGTGTGAGTCTGTGGGTCTCTGTGTGATGAGTCTGTGGGTCTCTATGTGTGAGTCTGTGGGTCTCTGTGTGATGAGTCTGTGGGTCTCTGTGTGAGTCTATGGGTCTCTGTGTGAGTCTGTGGGTCTCTATGTGTGATGAGTCTGTGGGTCTCTATGTGTGATGAGTCTGTGGGTCTCTATGTGTGAGTCTGTGGGTCTCTGTGTGATTAGTCCGTGGGTTTCTATGTATGATTCTGTGGGTCTCTGTGTGGTGAGTCTGTGGGTCTCTATGTGTGAGTCTGTGGGTCTCTGTACACACAGACCTTGTTGTTAAGAGTCAGTTTGGTTGCCATGGTGATGGAGGGTGATGTGGTTGCTAGGCGCTGGTCCCACGTGCCGTTGTTACCATGGTTACCGGCGCGTCGTGTTCCCTTCGCTTTGGTTCTCCCTGAAAGAATCAGCAGCATCATCAGCAGCAGCATCATCATCAGCAGCATCATCATCATCAGCATCATCAGCAGCAGCATCATCAGCATCATCAGCATCATCATCAGCAGCAGCATCATTATCATCAGTATCATCAGCATCATCATCATCAGCATCATCAGCATCAGCAGCAGTCATCAGCAACATCAGTAGTAGTGACATCATCACCATCATCACTCACTCCCATCGCTCACTCACTCCTTAATCACTCCCATCACTCACTCACTCACTCCCATCACTCACTCCTTCACTCACTCCCATCACTCACTCCCATCACTCACTCACTCCTTCACTCACTTACTCCCATCACTCACTCACCCCTTCACTCACTCCTTCACTCACTCCCATCACTCACTCCCTTCACTCACTCCCATCACTCACTCACTCTCTTCACTCACTCCCATCACTCACTCCAATCACTCACTCACTGCTTTACTCACTCCCATCACTCACTCACTCCCATCACTCACTCACTCCCATCACTCACTCACTCCTTTACTCACTCCCATCACTCACTCACTCTCTTCACTCACTCCTTCACTCACTCCCATCACTCACTCACTCCCTTCACTCACTCCCATCACTCACTCACTCCTTTACTCACTTCCATCACTCACTCACTCCCATCACTCACTCCTTCACTCACTCACTCCCATCACTCACTCACTCCCATCACTCACTCCTTCACTCACTCACTCCTTCACTCACTCCCATCACTCACTCCCATTCACTCACTCCCATCACTCACTCACTCCCATCACTCACTCACTCCCATCACTCACTCCTTCACTCACTCACTCCCATCACTCACTCCTTCACTCACTCCCATCACTCACTCACCCCTTTACTCACTCCCATCACTCACTCACTCCTTCACTCACTCACTCCCATCACTCACTCCTTCACTCACTCCCATTACTCACTCACTCCCATCACTCACTCACTCCCATCACTCACTCCCATCACTCACTCCTTCACTCACTCCTTCACTCACTCCCATCACTCACTCACTCCCATCACTTACTCCCATCACTCACTCCTTCACTCACTCCTTCACTCACTCCCATCACTCACTCCCATCACTCACTCACCCCATTCACTCACTCCCATCACTCACTCCCATCACTCACTCACTCCCATCACTCACTCCTTCACTCACTCCCATCACTCACTCACTCGCATCACTCACTCCCATCACTCACTCACCCCATTCACTCACTCCCATCACTCACTCCCATCACTCACTCCTTCACTCACTCCCATCACTCACTCCCATCACTCACTCACTCGCATCACTCACTCACCCATTCACTCACCCCTTCACTCACTCCTTCACTCACTCCCATCACTCACTCCCATCACTCACTCACTTCCATCACTCACTCCCATCACTCACTCCCATCACTCACTCACTCCCATCACTCACTCCCATCACTCACTCACTCACTCCTTTACTCACTCCCATCACTCACCCCATCACTCACCCCTTCACTCACCCCTTCACTCACTCCCATCACTCACTCCCATCACTCACCCCTTCACTCACTCCCATCACTCACTCCCATCACTCACCCCTTCACTCACTCCCATCGCTACATAATCTCTCTCCACTGCTGGATGAGTGTCCACTCACCCTTCCCCTTGCGTCTCCTCCGCTCCCTCCGCCGCTGTTTCCTTCTCTCCTCCCTCTCGGGCCCTGTGCTGCCCCTAAGCCTGCCCGCTTTCCTGATCATCACTCCCCGCTCCCCACTCTCCCCCATCATCTCCTCCCTCTCGGGCCCTGTGCTGCCCCTAAGCCTGCCCACTTTCCTGACCGTCTCCCCCATCGTCTCCTCCCCTTCCTCCCTCTCGGGCCCTGTGCCGCCCCTAAGCCTGCCCCCTTTCCTGAGCGTCTCCCCCATCATCTCATCCCCTTCCTCCCTCTCGGGCCCTGTGCTGCCCCTAAGCCTGTCTCCTTTCCTGACCATCTCCCCCATCATCTCCTCCCCTTCCTCCCTCTCGGGCCCTGTGCTGCCCCTAAGCCTGCCCCCTTTCCTGACCGTCTCCCCCATCATCTCCTCCCCTTCCTCCCTCTCGGGCCCTGTGCTGCCCCTAAGCCTGCCCCCTTTCCTGACCATCTCCCCCGTCATCTCCTCCCCTTCCTCCCTCTCGGCCCCTGTGCTGCCCCTAAGCCTGCCCCCTTTCCTGACCGTCTCCCCCATCATCTCATCCCCTTCCTCCCTCTCGGGCCCTGTGCTGCCCCTAAGCCTGCCCCCTTTCCTGACCGTCTCCCCCGTCATCTCCTCCCCTTCCTCCCTCTCGGGCCCTGTGCTGCCCCTAAGCCTGCCCCCTTTCCTGACCATCTCCCCCGTCATCTCCTCCCCTTCCTCCCTCTCGGGCCCTGTGCTGCCCCTAAGCCTGCCTCCTTTCCTGACCGTCTCCCCCATCATCTCATCCCCTTCCTCCCTCTCGGGCCCTGTGCCGCCCCTAAGCCTGCCTCCTTTCCTGACCGTCTCCCCCATCATCTCATCCCCTTCCTCCCTCTCGGGCCCTGTGCTGCCCCTAAGCCTGCCTCCTTTCCTGAGCGTCTCCCCCAGCATCTCCTCCCCTTCCTCCCTCTCGGGCCCTGTGCCGCCCCTAAGCCTGCCTCCTTTACTGAGCGTCTCCCCCATCATCTCATCCCCTTCCTCCCTCTCGGGCCCTGTGCCGCCCCTAAGCCTGCCTCCTTTCCTGACCGTCTCCCCCATCATCTCATCCCCTTCCTCCCTCTCGGGCCCTGTGCTGCCCCTAAGCCTGCCCCCTTTCCTGACCGTCTCCCCCATCGTTTCTCCCCTCCTCGCCGACGCGGAGTCGGACTCCGACTCTGGCCCCTCAAGCGAGATTAGGGCAGTGGCGTGATGATGATGATCATGGCGATGACCATCGTGATGATGATCACGGCGATCGTGGTGGTGGTGGTGGTGGTGATGCTCCTCCTCCTCATCCTCCTGCTGCTGCTGCTGCATATGATGATGTGGATTGTGGTCGGAGATGTCAGTCGGCGTGGCGACGGATATCATCGTCATCAGCAGAATCATCATCAGCAGCACCATCATCCTCATCCTCAGCGGCGCCTGAGAGCGTGAAGGGCTCATCGTCAGATCTTGTCCGGGCGGTAGCTGTGTGGGAGACAAACAGAGATGGAGAGATGAGTGGGTTGCATTAATGATCATCATCCTCATCATGAGCAGCAGCAGCAGAAGCCAGGGTCTATCCACTGTTGGATTGAGACACCACCACCACCAGCCAGGGTCTATCCACTGCTAGATTGAGACACCACCACCCAGCCAGCCAGGGTCTATCCACTGTTGGATTGAGACACCACCAGCCAGGGTCTATCCACTGCTGGATTGAGGCATCACCACCACCAGCCAGGGTCTATCCACTGTTGGATTGAGACACCACCAGCCAGGGTCTATCCACTGCTGGATTGAGGCATCACCACCACCAGCCAGGGTCTATTCACTGTTGGATTGAGGCACCACCACAACCACCCAGCCAGGGTCTATCCACTGCTGGATTGAGACACCACCACCACCAGCCAGGGTCTATCCACTGCTGGATTGAGACACCACCACCACCAGCCAGGGTCTATCCACTGTTGGATTGAGACACCACCACCAGCCAGCCAGGGTCTATCCACTGCTGGATTGAGACACCACCACCACCAGCCAGGGTCTATCCACTGTTGGATTGAGACACCACCAGCCAGCCAGGGTCTATCCACTGTTGGATTGAGACACCACCACCAGCCAGAGTCTATCCACTGCTAGATTGAGGCACCACCACAACCACCCAGCCAGGGTTTATCCACTGCTGGATTGAGGCACCACCATCACCAGCCAGGGTCTATCCACTGTTGGATTGAGACACCACCACCAGCCAGGGTCTATCCACTGTTGGATTGAGACACCACCACCACCAGCCAGGGTCTATCCACTGTTGGATTGAGACACCACCACCCAGCCAGGTTCTATCCACTGCTAGATTGAGGCATCACCACCACCAGCCAGGGTCTATCCACTGTTGGATTGAGACACCACCACCACCAGCCAGCCAGGGTCTATCCACTGCTAGATTGAGACACCACCAGCCAGGGTCTATCCACTGCTAGATTGAGACACCACCAGCCAGGGTCTATCCACTGTTGGATTGAGACACCACCACCACCAGCCAGGGTCTATCCACTGTTGGATTGAGACACCACCATCAGCCAGGGTCTATCCACTGTTGGATTGAGACATCACCACCACCAGCCAGGGTCTATCCACTGTTGGATTGAGACAACACCACCCAGCCAGCCAGGGTCTATCCACTGTTGGATTGAGACACCACCACCACCAGCCAGGGTCTATCCACTGCTAGATTGAGACACCACCACCCAGCCAGGGTCTATCCACTGTTGGATTGAGACACCACCACCACCAGCCAGGGTCTATCCACTGTTGGATTGAGACACCACCATCAGCCAGGGTCTATCCACTGTTGGATTGAGACATCAGCACCACCAGCCAGGGTCTATCCACTGTTGGATTGAGACACCACCACCACCAGCCAGGGTCTATCCACTGCTGGATTGAGGCATCTCTAAGACCCCAGGATAAACTCCCTCTAGACACACAGTGAGAGAGAGAAATATCCCATTGAGCCCATTTTAAATCAGTGCAATTTAATTTTTAAACGAATTCACACGCCATGCATTCAAACCACCTCCTCCCCCCCCCTCCACGAACAAAAACCATTGTATCGATAGATTAATGCAATTGGAAATATATTCCAACGTCGCTGAACGTTCGCACAGCACGTTGTGTACACAATGCGATCATAACGCTATCCTTACCTGACTTGTCGATTCCAAATTTACGGTAGCGATTCTCTGGATCGATTCCAATGTTCAGGGATGCCCCTCCCACTCCTCCTCCACCCGCCCCCTCCTTCACCCTCCACCCTCCTTCACCCCCCCTCCACCCCCTCCACCCCCTCCTTTATCCCCCCTCCACCCGCCCCCTCCTCCACCCACCCCCTCCTCCACCCTCCCCCTCCTTCACCCCCCCCTCCACCCCCCCTCCTCCACCCCCCTCCCCCCTCCTTCACCCCCCCCTCTACCCCCCCTCCACCCTCCCCCTCCACCCCCCCCCTCCTCCACCCCCCTCCACCCCCCCTCCTCCACCCCCCCTCCTCCACCCTCCACCCCCTCCTTCATCCCCCCTCCTCCACCCCCTCCACCCCCCTCCTCCACCCCCTCCACCCCCCCTCCACCCTCCTTCCACCCTCCACCCCCGAGCGACTCGATGACGTCATCGCGCACCAAAGCCATCGTTCTCGTCTAAGATTAATGACGTCATCACGCACCGCACCAAACGGGACGTCACTATAAGGGGAAGTTTCTTGGTGTAGGCGATTTTGCGCGATGACGTTCCTCGGGAGTGTTATCGAGCGATGACGTCATAGAGAGGGGCATTTAGTGGAGGCAGTGTAGCGCGATGATGTCACTAAGTGGTGGAAGTTATATCGTGCGATGACGTCATGAAGTGGTGAAGGCGGTGTAGCGCGACGTCACTAAGGCGGGAAAGCTCATTGCGCGATGACGTCACGGAGGAGTCGCTGTAGCGCGATGACGTCACGCGGTGGGGTCGTTCGCTGTAGCGCGATGACGTCACGCGGTAGCAGGTCGCCGTGGCAAGATGACGTGCTTGCCGTGAAACGTTGACGTGTGCGCCGTGACGCGATGACGTACACAGCAGTGGCGCGATGACGTCCTCGCCGTGGCGCGATTTCGTATCCGCCGTAGCAAGATGACGTAATAGCAGTGGCGCGATGACGTCCTCGCCGTGGCGCGATGTCGTATCCGCCGTAGCAAGATCACGTAAGAGCAGTGGCGCGATGACGTAAGAGCAGTGGCGCGATGACGTCACGCGCACGCCGTCACACCGCGCAGGAGGCTTCAATGGCGCCGCTGCGTCTCCACCTCCTCCCGCTCCTGGCGCTGGCGGCTTCGCTGCCCCTCGCCTCGGCCCTCTACGAGGACCAGATCGGCAAGTTCGACTGGTGAGCCACACAACCACACAACCACAACACAACAACCACAACTATACACAACCACACAACAACCACGCAACCACAACTACAACACAACCACACAATCACCCACAACCACACACAACCACGTCACAACCACCCACACACAACCACCCACAACCACCCACACACAACCACCCACAACACAACCACCCACAACACAACCACCCACAACCACCCACAACACAACCACCCACAACACAACCACCCACAACCACGTCACAACCACCCACAACCACCCACAACCACCCACAACCACCCACACACAACCACCCACAACCACCCACAACACAACCACCCACAACACAACCACCCACAACCACCCACAACACAACCACCCACAACACAACCACCCACAACCACGTCACAACCACCCACAACCACCCACAACACAACCACCCACAACACAACCACAACACAACTACACAACCACACACAACCACACACAACCACACACAACTACACAACCACACACAACCACACACAACCACACACAACTACACAACCACACACAACAACACAACCACACACAACTACACAACCACACAACCACACACAACCACACAACCACACACAACTACACAACCACCCACAACACAACCACACACAACTACACAACCACCACACAACCACACACAACCACACAGAACTACACAACCACACACAACCACACACAACTACACAACCACCACACAACCACGCCACAACCACGCCACAACCACGTCACAACCACCCACAACACAACCACGTCACAACCACCCACAACACAACCACCCGCAACCACGTCACAACCACCCACAACACAACCACCCACAACCACCCACAACACAACCACCCACAACACAACCACGTCACATCCACAACCACCCACAACACGTCACAACCACCCACAACCACCCACAACCACGTCACAACCACCCACAACCACGTCACAACCACCCACAACCACCTACTGCACCTGCTCCTTCTGCTAACGAGGGGGCGTGTGGGTGTACAGTGCGGGGCGTGTGTGTACAGTGCGGGGGTCGTGTGTGGGTGTACAGTGCGGGGGTCGTGTGTGGGTGTACTACTACTACTGATGCTACTGCTACTACTACTGATGCTACTGCTACTACTACTGATGCTACTGCTACTACTACTGCTACTACTACTGATGCTACTGCTACTACTACTGCTACTACTACTGATGCTACTGCTACTACTACTGCTACTACTACTGATGCTACTGCTACTACTACTGATGCTACTGCTACTACTACTGCTACTGATGCTACTGCTACTACTACTGATGCTACTGCTACTACTACTGCTACTACTGCTGCTACTACTGCTACTACTGCTGCTACTACTACTGCTGCTACTGCTACTACTACTGCTACTACTGCTGCTGCTACTACTGCTACTACTACTACTGCTGCTACTGCTACTACTGCTGCTGCTACTACTACTACTGCTGCTACTACTGATGCTACTACTGCTACTACTACTACTACTGCTGCTGCTACTACTACTGCTACTACTGCTGCTGCTACTACTGCTGCTGCTACTGCTACTACTGCTACTACTACTGCTACTACTACTACTACTGCTGCTACTACTGATGCTACTACTGCTACTACTACTGCTACTACTACTGCTACTACTGATGCTACTACTACTGCTACTACTGATGCTACTACTGCTGCTACTACTACTGCTGACACTACTGCTGCTATTGCTACTACTGATGCTGCTACTGCTGCAGGAGGCAGCGCTACGTGGGCTCTGTGCGGCAGGCTTGGTTCGAGGGCCCAAGCGCCTCACCACGGCGCATCCTCCTCACCACGTCGCAGAGAGTGGTCGCCGCACTCAACACTCGCTCTGGGGAACTCCGTGAGTCAGACAGTCACTCAGTCAGTTAGTCAGTCAGTCACTCAGTCAGGCAGTCAGTCAGTCACTCAGTCAGTCACTCACTCAGTCACTCAGTCAGTCAGTCAATCACTCAGTCAGGCAGTCAGTCAGTCACTCAGTCAGTCACTCAGTCAATCACTCAGTCAGTCAGTCAATCACTCAGTCAGGCAGTCAGTCACTCAGGCAGTCAGGCGTGGTTCGAGGGCCCATCCTCCTCACCACGTCGCAGAGAGTGGTCGCCGCACTCAACACTCGCTCTGGGGAACTCCGTGAGTCAGACAGTCACTCAGTCAGACAGTCAGACAGTCAGTTAGTCACTCAGTCACTCACTCACTCACTCAGTCAGCCAGTCACTCACTCAGACAGTCAGTCACTCAGTCAGTCAGCCAGTCACTCAGTCACTCACTCGCTCGCTCAGTCACTCAGCCAGTTACTCAGTCAGTCAGTCACTCAGTCAGTCAGCCAGTCACTCAGTCACTCAGTCAGTTACTCAGTCAGTCAGTCACTCAGTCAGGCAGTCAGGTGTGGTTCGAGGGCCCAACCGCCTCACCACGGCGCAGAGAGTGGTCGCCGCACTCAACACTCGCTCTGGGGAACTCCGTGAGTCAGTCAGACAGTCACTCAGTCACGCAGTTAGTCAGTTAGTTAGTCAGTTAGTCAGTCAGTCACTCAGTCAGTCAGTCACTCAGTCAATCAGTTATTCAGTCAGTCACTCAGTCAGTCAGTCACTCAGTCACTCACTCAGCCAGTCAGTCAGTCACTCAGTCACTCACTCAGTCAGTCACTCACTCAGTCAGTCAGTCATCCACTCAGTCACTCAGTCAGTCACTCAGTCAGTCAGTCAGTCACTCAGTCAGTCACTCAGTCAGTCACTCAGCCAGTCAGCCAGTCAGTCACTCAGTCACTCGCTCGCTCAGTCACTCAGTCAGTTACTCAGTCAGTCAGTCACTCAGGCAGTCAGGCGTGGTTCGAGGGTCCAAGCGCCTCACTACGTCGCAGAGAGTGGTCGCCGCACTCAACACTCGCTCTGGGGAACTCCGTGAGTCAGTCACTCAGTCAGTTAGTTAGTCAGTCAGTCACTCAGTCAGGCAGGCAGTCAGTCACTCGCTCACTCAGTTACTCACTCAGTCAGTCAGTCACTCAGCCAGTCAGTCACTTAGTCAGTCACTCAGTCAGGCAGTCAGCCAGTCAGTCACTTAGTCAGTCACTCAGTCAGTTACTCAGTCAGTCAGTCAGTTAGTCAGTCACTCAGTCACTCAGTCACTCAGTCACTCACTCACTCAGCCAGTCAGTCACTCAGTCACTCGCTCACTCAGTTACTCACTCAGTCACTCACTCAGTCAGTCAGTCAGTCACTCAGTCAGTCATCCAGTCACTCAGTCAGTCACTCAGCCAGTCAGTCAGCCAGTCAGTCAGCCAGTCACTCAGTCACTCAGCCAGTCACTCACTCGCTCGCTCAGTACTCAGTCAGTCACTCAGTCAGTCACTCACTCATACAGTCAGTCACTCAGTCATTCAGTCAGTCAGGCAGTCAGGCAGTCACTCAGTCACTCAATTAGTCAGTCACTCAGTCAGTCACTCAGCCAGTTAGTCAGTCAGTAACTCACTCAGGCACTCAGTCAGTTAGTCAGTTAGTTAGTCAGGCAGTCAGTCACTCAATTAGTCAGTCACTCAGTCAGTCACTCAGCCAGTTAGTCAGTCAGTCACTCAGTCACTCAGTCACTTAGTCAGTCACTCAGTCAGGCAGTCAGCCAGTCAGTCACTTAGTCAGTCACTCAGTCAGTTACTCAGTCAGTCAGTCAGTTAGTCAGTCACTCAGTCACTCAGTCACTCAGTCACTCACTCACTCAGCCAGTCAGTCACTCAGTCACTCGCTCACTCAGTTACTCACTCAGTCACTCACTCAGTCAGTCAGTCAGTCACTCAGTCAGTCATCCAGTCACTCAGTCAGTCACTCAGCCAGTCAGTCAGCCAGTCAGTCAGCCAGTCACTCAGTCACTCAGCCAGTCACTCACTCGCTCGCTCAGTACTCAGTCAGTCACTCAGTCAGTCACTCACTCATACAGTCAGTCACTCAGTCATTCAGTCAGTCAGGCAGTCAGGCAGTCACTCAGTCACTCAATTAGTCAGTCACTCAGTCAGTCACTCAGCCAGTTAGTCAGTCAGTAACTCACTCAGGCACTCAGTCAGTTAGTCAGTTAGTTAGTCAGGCAGTCAGTCACTCAATTAGTCAGTCACTCAGTCAGTCACTCAGCCAGTTAGTCAGTCAGTCACTCAGTCACTCAGTCACTCACTCAGTCAGTCACTCAGTCGGGCAGTCAGTCAGTCACTCAGTCACTCATTCAGTCAGTCACTCAGCCACTCAGTCAGTCACTCAGTCAGTCACTCAGTCAGACAGTCAGTCACTCAGTCACTCACTCGCTCACTCGCTCGCTCAGTTACTCACTCAGTCACTCAGTCAGTCACTCACTCGCTCACACATTCATTCGCCCACCCACTCACCCACTCACTCACCCACCCACCCACTCACCCACCCACCCACTCACCCACACACTCACACACTCACCCACCCACCCACTCACCCAACCACTCACCCACCCACTCACTCACTCACTCACCCACCCACTCACTCACCCACCCACCCACTCAACCACCCAATCACCCACCCACCCACTCACCCACCCACTCACCCACCCACCCACTCACCCACTCACCCACCCACCCACTCACCCACCCACCCACTCACCCACCCACTCACCCACCCACCCACCCACTCACCCAACCACCCACCCACCCACTCACCCACTCACCCACTCACTCACCCACTCACCCACCCCCTCACCCGCCCACTCGCCCACCCGCCCACTCACCCACCCACTCACCCACTCACCCACCCACTCACCCACCCACTCACCCACCCACCCACTCACCCACTCACCCACCCACTCACCCACCCACCCACTCACCCACCCACCCACTCACTCACCCACCCACCCACCCACCCACTCACCCACCCACCCACCCACCCACTCACCCACCCACCCACCCACTCACCCACTCACTCACCCACCCACTCACTCACCCACCCACCCACACACTCACACACTCACCCACCCACCCACTCACCCAACCACCCACTCATCCACCCACCCACTCACCCACCCACCCACCCACTCACCCACTCACCCACTCACCCACCCACTCACCCACCCACCCACTCACCCACCCACCCACTCACCCACCCACTCACTCACCCACCCACCCACCCACTCACCCACCCACTCACTCACCCACCCACCCACACACTCACCCACTCAATCGCCCACCCACTCACCCAACCACCCACTCACCCACCCACTCAATCAATCGCCCACCCACTCACCCACCCACCCACCCACCCACTCACCCAACCACCCACTCACCCACCCACTCACCCACCCACCCACTCACCCACCCACCCACTCACCCACCCACCCACTCACCCACTCACCCACCCACTCACCCACCCACTCACCCACCCACCCACTCACCCACCCACTCACCCACTCACCCACCCACCCACCCACTCACCCACCCACTCACCCACCCACCCACTCACCCACCCACCCACCCACTCACCCACTCACTCACCCACCCACCCACTCACCCACCCACTCACCCACCCACCCACTCACCCACCCACCCACTCACCCACCCACCCACTCACTCACCCACCCACTCACTCACCCACCCACCCACTCACCCACTCACTCACTCACCCACTCACTCACCCACCCACTCACTCACCCACCCACCCACTCACCCACCCACCCACTCACCCACCCACCCACTCACTCACCCACTCACTCACTCACTCACCCACCCACCCACTCACCCACCCACCCACTCACCCACCCAACCACTCACCCACCCACCCACTCACCCACCCACCCACCCACTCACACACTCACCCACCCACCCACTCACCCACCCACTCACCCACCCACTCACTCACTCACTCACCCACCCACTCACTCACCCACCCACCCACCCCCTCAACCACCCAATCACCCACCCACCCACACACCCACCCACTCACCCACCCACCCACTCACCCACTCACCCACCCACCCACCCACTCACCCACCCACCCACTCACCCACCCACTCACCCACCCACCCACTCACCCACTCACCCACTCACCCACTCACTCACCCACTCACCCACCCGCTCACCCGCCCACTCGCCCACCCGCCCACTCACCCACCCACTCACCCACTCACCCACCCACTCACCCACCCACTCACCCACCCACCCACTCACCCACTCACCCACCCACTCACCCACCCACTCACCCACCCACCCACCCACTCACTCACCCACCCACCCACCCACTCACCCACCCACTCACCCACCCACCCACTCACCCACCCACTCACTCACTCACCCACCCACCCACTCACCCACCCACTCACTCACCCACCCACCCACACACTCACACACTCACCCACCCACCCACTCACCCAACCACCCACTCATCCACCCACCCACTCACCCACCCACCCACCCACTCACCCACTCACCCACCCACTCACCCACCCACCCACTCACCCACCCACCCACTCACCCACCCACTCACTCACTCACCCACCCACCCACCCACTCACCCACCCACTCACTCACCCACCCACCCACACACTCACCCACCCACCCACTCACCCAACCACCCACTCACCCACCCACTCACTCACCCACCCACTCACCCACCCACCCACCCACTCACCCAACCACCCACTCACCCACCCACTCACCCACCCACTCACCCACCCACCCACTCACCCACCCACCCACTCACCCACTCACCCACCCACTCACCCACCCACTCACCCACCCACCCACTCACCCACCCACTCACCCACTCACCCACCCACCCACTCACCCACCCACTCACCCACCCACCCACTCACCCACCCACTCACCCACTCACTCACCCACCCACCCACTCACCCACCCACCCACTCACCCACCCACCCACTCACCCACCCACCCACTCACCCACCCACCCACTCACTCACCCACCCACTCACTCACCCACCCACCCACTCACCCACTCACTCACTCACCCACTCACTCACCCACCCACTCACTCACCCACCCACCCACTCACCCACCCACCCACTCACCCACCCACCCACTCACTCACCCACTCACTCACTCACCCACCCACGCCCTGTCTCCCCGTGTCTCTCTGTGCTCAGTGTGGAGACAAGTACTGCCTGAGCAGGAGGGGCCTGTGGAGATGATGCTGCATCATAACACAGGTGAGACAAAGGTGGTCGGGAGTGAGCGTGGCTGTGAGTGAGTGTGTGAGTGAGTGTGTTAGTGAGTGTGTTAGTGAGTGAGTGAGTGTGTTAGTGAGTGTGTTAGTGAGTGTGTTAGTGAGTGTGTTAGTGAGTGTGTGTGTGAGTGAGTGTGTGAGTGGGTGAGTGAGTGAGTGAGTGTGTGAGTGAGTGTGTGTGTGTGCGTGTGTGAGTGTGTGAGTGAGTGAGTGTGTGAGTGTATGTGTGAGTGTGTGAGTGTGTTAGTGAGTGTGTGAGTGAGTGTGTGAGTGAGTGAGTTAGTGAGTGAGTGTGGCTGTGGGTGAGTGTGTGAGTGAGTGAGTGTGAGTGAGTGAGTGAGTGTGTTAGTGAGTGTGTTAGTGAGTGTGTTAGTGAGTGTGTTAGTGAGTGAGTTGGTGAGTGTGTTAGTGAGTGTGTGTGTGAGTGAGTGTGTGAGTGGGTGAGTGAGTGAGTGAGTGTGTGAGTGTGTGTGTGTGCGTGTGTGAGTGTGTGAGTGAGTGTGTGAGTGAGTGTGTGAGTGTGTTAGTGAGTGTGTGAGTGAGTGTGTGAGTGAGTGTGTGAGTGAGTGTGTGAGTGAGTGAGTTAGTGAGTGAGTGTGGCTGTGGGTGAGTGTGTGAGTGAGTGAGTGTGAGTGAGTGAGTGAGTGTGTTAGTGAGTGTGTTAGTGAGTGTGTTAGTGAGTGAGTTAGTGAGTGAGTGTGTGAGTGTGTGAGTGAGTGTATGAGTGAGTGTGAGTGAGTGAGTGTGAGTGAGTGTGTGTGAGTGAGTGTGGCTGTGAGTGCGTGTGGCTGTGAGTGCGTGTGTGAGTGAGTGTGTGTGTGCGTGTGAGTGTGTGAGTGAGTGTGTGAGTGTGAGTGTGTGTGCGTGTGAGTGAGTGTGTGCGTGTGAGTGTGTGAGTGAGTGTGTGAGTGAGTGTGTGAGTGCGTGTGTGAATGAGTGTGAGTGAGTGTGTGAGTGCGTGTGTGAATGAGTGTGAGTGAGTGTGTAAGTGTGTGAGTGAGTGAGTGTGTGAGTGAGTGTGTGAGTGAGTGAGTGTGTGAGTGTGTGAGTTTGTGAGTATGCGTGTGAGTATGCGTGTGAGTGAGTGTGTGTGTGTGAGTAGGTTAGTGTGAGTGAGTGGGGGTGGCTGTGTGCGAATGTTTGAGTGAGTGTGTGACTGTGTGTGTGTGACTGTGTGTGTGACTGACTGTGTGAGTGTGACTGTGTGTGTGACTGACTGTGTGTGAGTGTGTGAGTGACTGTGTGTGTGACTGTGTGACTGTTTGTGTGTGACTGTGTGTGTGTGTGTGTGACTGAGTGTGTGACTGTGTGTGACTGTGTGTGTGTGACTGTGTGTGACTGTGTGTGTGTGACTGTGTGTGACTGTGTGTGTGACTGTGTGTGTGTGACTGTGTGTGACTGTGTGTGTGTGACTGTGTGTGTGTGACTGTGTGTGTGTGTGTGACTGTGTGTGTGTGTGTGACTGTGTGTGACTGACTGTGTGTGTGACTGTGTGTGACTGACTGTGTGTGTGAGTGTGTGTGTGACTGACTGTGTGTGTGAGTGTTTGTGTGACTGACTGTGTGTGTGAGTGTGTGTGTGACTGTGTGTGTGACTGTGTGTGACTGTGTGTGACTGTGTACCCAGACACTGTGACGCTGTCCGGGAGATTCCTGAGGTCCTGGGACTCGGCTTTGGGAGCTCTCAACTGGGAAACTCAGCTCCAGCCTGCAAGGTGAATACACCGGGAGGGTGGTGGTGGTGGTGATGGTCGTGGTGGTTTGTGGTGGTGGTGATCATGGTGGTGGTGGTGGTGGGTGGTGGTGGTGGTGATGATCGTGGTGGTGTTGGTGGTGGTTATGATCGTGGTGGTGGTGGTGGTGATGGTGGTGATGATGGTCGCGGTGGTGGTTGGTTTGTGGTGGTGGTGGTGATGGTGGTGGTGATGATCGTGGTAGTGGTGGTGATCATGGTGGTGTTGGTGGTGAAAGTGGTGGTGTTGGTGGTGATGATGATCATGGTGGTGGTGGTGCTGGTGGTAGTGATCATAGTGGTTGTAGTGGTGGTGATTGTGGTGGTGGTGCTGGTGGTGGTGCTGGTGGTGATGATGATGATGGTGGTGCTGGTGGTGGTGATCATGATGGTGGTGGTGATAGTGGTGGTAGTGGTGATCGTGGTGGTGGTGATGATGATGATGATGCTGATGATGAGAATGATGATGATAATGCTGCTGATGATGATGATAATGCTGCTTATGATGATAATGCCTTGAATAAAGGTGTCAGTTTTTGTGCCAGTTAAAAGGGTAAAAACCTATTCCTATATCTTGTTTCTGGCAAAGGAGGTCTCATAATGTTAATGCTCACCCCGAGCCCTCAATACTCTGACAAGTGCGCTGTTTTTGAGTTGTGTGACGCCTTTTGGCGTCTTCTGGTCCAACACCAGTGGAGACTAAAGGGCTCTAAGAAAAGCCGTCTCGGGTGTGGACCAATCAAATTCAAGGACAGTGCCAATATTATTATCAGAGTTGTCTTTTTTGTTTGCATTTTGACTGCTTGTGTTGTGGTCATTGCAAACATGATGCCTTGAATAAAGGTGTCAGTTTTTTGTGCCAGTTGAAAGGGTAAAACCTATTCCTATATGATAATGCTGCTTATGATGATAATGCTGATGCTGATGATGCTGATGGTGCTAATGATGATGGTGCTGATGATGATGCTCATGATGATGATGCTCATGATGATGATGCTGATGATGCTCATGATGATGATGCTGATGATGCTCATGATGCTGATGCTGATGATGGTGCTGATGATGATGCTGATGATGGTGCTGCTGCTTCTTCCAGCGTGGTGTCGGCCGTGCTGACTGTCGCCCGTTCATCGCCACGCTCCGTGCTGCTGCTGAGAGAGCCGGGGGCCCTGCAGCTGATAGCCCTGGGCAGCGGTGACACACACTGGGACACACAGCTGCGGTACGGAGACACGGGGAGACGCGGGGGGAGACACGGGGAGACACGGGGAGACACGGGGGAGAGACGCGGGGGAGACACGGGGAGACACGGGGGGAGACACGGGGGGAGACACGGGGAGACAGGGGGAGACACGGGGAGACACGGGGGAGACACGGGGACACACACTGGGACACAGCTGCGGTACGGAGACACGGGGAGACGCGGGGGGAGACACGGGGAGACACGGGGAGACACGGGGAGACACGGGGAGACACGGGGGAGACACCGGGACACACACTGGGACACAGCTGCTGTACGGAGACACGGGGAGACGCGGGGGGAGACACGGGGAGACACGGGGAGACACGGGGAGACACGGGGGAGACACCGGGACACACACTGGGACACAGCTGCTGTACGGAGACACGGGGAGACGCGGGGGGAGACACGGGGAGACACGGGGAGACACGGGGGAGACACGGGGACACACACTGGGACACAGCTGCGGTACGGAGACACGGGGAGACGCGGGGGGAGACACGGGGAGACACGGGGAGACACGGGGAGACACGGGGGAGACACCGGGACACACACTGGGACACAGCTGCTGTACGGAGACACGGGGAGACGCGGGGGGAGACACGGGGAGACACGGGGGAGACACGGGGACACACACTGGGACACAGCTGCGGTACGGAGACACGGGGAGACGCGGGGGGAGACACGGGGAGACACGGGGAGACACGGGGAGACACGGGGAGACGCGGGGGGAGACACGGGGGGAGACACGGGGAGACACGGGGAGACACACTAGGACACACAGCTGCGGTACGGAGACACGGGGAGACACGGGGAGACACGGGGAGACACGGGGAGACACACTGGGACACACAGCTGCGGTACGGAGACACGGGGAGACATGGGGAGACACGGGGAGACACGGGGAGACACGGGGAGACACGGGGGAGACACGGGGGAGACACGGGGACACACACTGGGACACACAGCTGCGGTACGGAGACACGGGGAGACACGGGGAGACACGGGGAGACACGGGGGAGACACGGGGGAGACACAGGGAGAGACACGGCGAGACGCGGGGAGACACGGGGAGACACGGGGGAGACACGGGGGAGACGCGGGGAGACACGGGGGAGACACAGGGAGAGACGCGGGAGAGACACGGGGGAGACACGGGGGAGACACGGGGGAGACACGGGGAGACACGGGGGAGACACGGGGGAGACACGGGGAGACACGGGGGAGACACGGGGGAGACACGGGGAGACGCGCGAGAGAGACCCGGGGAGACAGACACACACTGAGACACGGTGAGACACACGGGGGGAGAAAAAGACACGGTGAGACACAGGGAGACAGACACGGTGAGACACATGGGGACGGAGAGACGGTGAGACACACGGAGGGAGAGAGAGACACGGTGAGACACAGGGAGACAGACACGGTGAGACACATGGGGACGGAGAGACGGTGAGACACACGGAGGGAGAGAGAGACACGGTGAGACACACACCGGGAGAGAGACAGGGTGAGACACACGGTGGGAGAGAGAGACACGGTGAGACACAGGGAGAGAGAGACACGGTGAGACACGGGGAGAGAGAGACACGGTGAGACACACCGGGAGAGAGAGACACGGTGAGACACACAGGGAGAGAGAGAGACACGGTGAGAGACACGGGGGGGAGAGACACGGTGAGACACACAGGGAGAGAGAGACACGGTGAGACACACACACAGGGAGAGAGAGAGACACGGTGAGACACACGGGGAGAGAGAGACACGGTGAGATACACAGGGAGAGAGAGACACGGTGAGACACACAGGGAGAGAGAGAGACGGTGAGACACACGGGGAGAGAGAGACACGGTGAGACACACACCGAGACACGGTGAGACACACACACAGGGAGAGAGAGAGACACGGTGAGACACACAGGGAGAGAGAGACACGGTGAGACACACACCGAGACACGGTGAGACACACTGGGAGAGAGAGAGACACAGGGGAGAGAGAGACACGGTCAGACACACACGGGGAGAGAGAGAGACACGGTGAGACACACGGGGAGAGAGAGACACGGTGAGACACACGGGGGGGGAGAGAGACACGGTGAGACACACGGGGGGGGAGAGAGACACGGTGAGACACACAGGGGAGAGAGAGACACGGTGAGACACACCGGGACAGAGAGACACGGTGAGACACACAGGGGGGGAGAGAGACACGGTGAGACACACAGGGGGAGAGAGAGACACGGTGAGACACACGGGGAGAGAGAGATACGGTGAGACACACGGGGAGAGAGAGAGACGGTGAGACACACAGGGAGAGAGAGACACGGTGAGACACACAGGGAGAGAGAGAGACACGGTGAGAGACACGGGGGGGAGAGACACGGTGAGACACACAGGGAGAGAGAGACACGGTGAGACACACAGGGAGAGAGAGACACGGTGAGACACACGGGGAGAGAGAGACACGGTGAGACACACACCGAGACACGGTGAGACACACACACAGGGAGAGAGAGAGACACGGTGAGACACACGGGGAGAGAGAGACACGGTGAGACACACAGGGAGAGAGAGACACGGTGAGACACACGGGGAGAGAGAGACACGGTGAGACACACAGGGAGAGAGAGACACGGTGAGACACACACCGAGACATGGTGAGACACACTGGGAGAGAGACACAGGGGAGAGAGAGACACGGTCAGACACACACGGGGAGAGAGAGAGACACGGTGAGACACACGGGGAGAGAGAGACACGGTGAGACACACGGGGGGGGAGAGAGACACGGTGAGACACACAGGGGGGGAGAGAGACACGGTGAGACACACGGGGAGAGAGAGACACGGTGAGACACACAGGGAGAGAGAGACACGGTGAGACACACAGGGAGAGAGAGACACGGTGAGAGACACGGGGGGAGAGAGAGACACGGTGAGACACACGGGGGGAGAGAGACACGGTGAGACACACAGAGAGAGAGACACGGTGAGACACACAGGGAGAGAGAGACACGGTGAGACACAGGGAGAGAGAGACACGGTGAGACACACAGGGAGAGAGAGACACGGTGAGACACACAGGGAGAGAGAGACACGGTGAGACACACGGGGAGAGAGAGACACGGTGAGACACACAGGGAGAGAGAGACACGGTGAGACACACGGGGAGAAAGAGACACGGTGAGACACACAGGGAGAGAGAGACACGGTGAGACACATGGGGAGAGAGAGACACGGTGAGACACACAGGGAGAGAGAGACACGGTGAGACACACGGGGAGAGAGAGACACGGTGAGACACACAGAGAGAGAGAGACACGGTGAGACACACGGGGGGAGAGAGACACGGTGAGACACACGGGGAGAGAGAGACACGGTGAGACACATGGGGAGAGAGAGACACGGTGAGACACACAGGGAGAGAGAGACACGGTGAGACACACAGGGAGAGAGAGACACGGTGAGACACACAGGGAGAGAGAGACACGGTGAGACACACGGGGAGAGAGAGACACGGTGAGACACACGGGGAGAGAGAGAGACACGGTGAGACACACAGGGGAGAGAGAGACACGGTGAGACACACGGGGAGAGAGAGACACGGTGAGACACACGGGGGGGAGAGAGACACGGTGAGACACACAGGGAGAGAGAGAGACACGGTGAGACACAGAGGGAGAGAGAGAGACACGGTGAGAGACACACACAGGGAGAGAGAGAGACACGGTGAGACACACAGGGAGAGAGAGACACGGTGAGAGACACGGGGGGGAGAGAGACACGGTGAGACACACGGGGAGAGAGAGAGACACGGTGAGACACACACACAGGGAGAGAGAGACACGGTGAGAGACACGGGGGGGAGAGAGACACGGTGAGACACACAGGGAGAGAGAGAGACACGGTGAGACACACACACAGGGAGAGAGAGAGACACGGTGAGACACACACAGAGGGAGAGAGAGACACGGTGAGACACACAGGGGGAGAGAGCCACGGTGAGACACACCGGGAGAGAGAGACACGGTGAGACACACAGGGAGAGAGAGACACGGTGAGACACACGGGGAGAGAGAGACACGGTGAGACACAGAGAGAGAGAGAGACACGGTGAGACACACAGGGAGAGAGAGACACGGTGAGACACGGGGGAGACACGGGGGAGACGCGGGGGAGACGCGGGAGAGACGCGGGGAGACAAGCGGGAGACACGGGGAGACACGGGGAGACACGGGGGAGACACGGGGGAGACACGGGGAGACGCGCGAGAGAGACCCGGGGAGACACGGGGAGACAGACACACACTGAGACACGGTGAGACACACTGGGGGAGAGAAAGACACGGTGAGACACAGGGAGACAGAAACGGTGAGACACATGGGGACGGAGAGACGGTGAGACACACGGAGGGAGAGAGAGACACGGTGAGACACACGGTGGGAGAGAGAGACACGGTGAGACACACGGGGGGAGAGAGACACGGTGAGACACAGGGAGAGAGAGACACGGTGAGACACACAGGGAGAGAGAGACACGGTGAGACACGGGGAGAGAGAGACACGGTGAGACACACGGGGAGAGAGACACGGTGAGACACACGGGGGGAGAGAGACACGGTGAAATACACGGGGAGAGAGAGACACGGTGAGACACACAGGGAGAGAGAGACACGGTGAGACACACAGGGAGAGAGAGACACGGTGAGACACACAGGGAGAGAGACACGGTGAGACACACGGGGAGAGAGACACGGTGAGACACACGGGGAGAGAGACACGGTGAGACACACAGGGAGAGAGAGACACGGTGAGACACACAGGGAGAGAGAGACACGGTGAGACACACGGGGAGAGAGAGACACGGTGAGACACACACCCAGGGAGAGAGAGACACGGTGAGACACACAGGGAGAGAGAGACACGGTGAGACACACACACAGGGAGAGAGAGACACGGTGAGACACACAGGGAGAGAGAGACACGGTGAGACACACACCCAGGGAGAGAGAGACACGGTGAGACACACAGGGAGAGAGAGACACACGGTGAGACACACGGGGAGAAAGAGACACGGTGAGACACACACACGGGGAGAGAGAGACACGGTGAGACACACGGTAGGGAGAGAGACACGGTGAGACACACAGGGGGAGAGAGACACGGTGAGACACATGGGGAGAGAGAGACACGGTGAGACACACAGAGAGAGAGAGACACGGTGAGACACACGGGGGGAGAGAGACACGTTGAGACACACAGGGGGAGAGAGACACGGTGAGAGACACGGGGGGAGAGAGACACGGTGAGACACACAGAGAGAGAGACACGGTGAGAGACACGGGGAGAGAGAGACACGGTGAGACACACAGGGAGAGAGAGACACGGTGAGATACACGGAGAGAGAGACACGGTGAGACACACGGGGAGAGAGACACGGTGAGACACACAGGGAGAGAGAGACACGGTGAGATACACGGAGAGAGAGACACGGTGAGAGACACGGGGAGAGAGACACGGTGAGACACACGGGGAGAGAGACACGGTGAGACACACGGGGAGAGAGACACGGTGAGACTCACAGGGAGAGAGAGACACAGTGAGACACACGGGAGAGAGAGACACGGTGAGACACACGGGAGAGAGAGACACGGTGAGACACACAGGGTTAGAGAGAGACACGGTGAGACACACAGGGAGAGAGAGACACGGTGAGACACACAGGGAGGGAGAGACACGGTGAGACACACGGGGAGAGAGACACGGTGAGATACAGAGAGAGAGAGAGACACGGTGAGACACACGGTAGGGAGAGAGAGACACGGTGAGACACACGGAGAG